TTTTGGTTTTTTCATGGCTTATGATCTGTCAAATTTGCAGTTTTCTTTATTGGTTTTGAGTGTTTATCTTAAAACTCAAGTTTCTTGGTTCTTTACTCTTTGTGTAAATCGAACACATTTGTGGAGTCGTTTAAATATGTTGGATTTTAAATATATTGGATTTTAAATTGTTATACAACCATAACTCTTATTTATTCAAATTTTATTAATATGTAAAGACCAAGTGTAACATATACCATCGTTAAATCTTATCTTATAAAACCAGTGAAACTTCAAAATCGTTAAAATTCATGGCTCCCGCCGCATTGCGCGGATACACAACTAGTTATTATATAAATAAGTTTAAACCACTTTATACAATATTAATTGAGTTATTTTCAACGCAGGAGGTAGCATTGGCAGACGTCAATATGTATGTCCTTTTTGCATACATGTGTATTAAAGTTTTAATCAATTAACTTCTCAAACATCTTGTTTGACTTTTCATTACAAACAACTGATTGGTACTTCAAACTACAAAAAAATTAATATTTTTGTAAAAATAACAATATATATTTTGGTTTTTATAAGATCATGTGTTGGAGCAAACATGATATCGTGGTTAGCTTGTGACAAAATGTCCAAATAAGTCGAACAATTTTCTAGATATTAGGGTTGCGTTTGGTATATGGAATGAGACAGGACAAACTTACTGTCTCACGTTTGACGTAACATAAGATAGAACAATAACTCACTGTCCAACGTTTGGCATGACATGAGACAAGGACAAGAACTGAGACAAAGTGAGACAATATGAGACAAAAAAAACTTTTTCTTGTTCCACCAAAATAGGTGGAATGTGATCGGACAAGAATAATACAGAAACTAAAACATTATTAATTTACTCTAGTTTGATATATAACTTTAATATGATATTTGTTTTAATGGTCATCACCGCTATTTTCGGTCACCGCCATCACCGACGGCCACCTCCACCTCCACCTTCTCTTCCACTACAACAACATCATTCACCGCCTCCACAACCACCGTCCACCATCGTCCATCGCCACCTTTACCATAGTCGACCACCGACCACCATCATCCATCACCACCACTATCACTGTTCGTCACTTGCAACTCCTCCTCTACTACAACAACCTCCTTCATTAGCTCCACACCCACCGTCCATTGCCATCTTTACAACCACCACTGGCCACCGACCACCCCCAACACGCATTACCACCAACACTACCACCGTTGGCCAACTCAAACATATACTGCAACAACCTCCTCCATTACCTCCACAACCACCGATCACGTGTTCATTGCCACTCTGCAACCACCATCTGAAAAATTGTAATTTCAGATTTGTTGCATAAACGACACAAGGTCCCCTGGTCCCATATGAATCCCTTAGCTTTATGTTTATATACTTCAGTGCTTCGCGGGGCTGGGTCCGGACCGCTGACTCTGCCCATCAAAATTACGAGGGCATTTCCTTAAACTTTAACAGCCGTTAGATCTTAATCTAACGATCACGGCAGCGCGTCCATTAATGTCACCCCAAATCTATGTGACACCTAACTTACTCTCCCTCTCCGTCTCTGCAACCATCTCTCGCCGGTGAAACGTGAAAACGAAACCCTAACAACGTCGACGACGATCATCTCTTATCGTATATCATCCGTTGGACAAAGGTATGTATATGCATATATCTGTATATTCATGTATTTGTATGTTGGTGATATGTTCCGACTTCCATATCTTTGAAACTAATTGTATAATCTGATGAAATTTCTGTATGATTTAACGATCAATTTGATAAAAAAAAAACGGTGAAATTGGATCGAATGATATGTCTACGGAAAATTGGATGGTGAAATTGGTGAAAAGAAGTCTTACTTTTGATTTTGGATATTCAAACATAGTACACCTTTCAACTTTTTATGAACATTTTCTTTATCTAGTTGAATGTAGATATCAAATTTTCCTGTTCAGAGTAAATCATTCTTTGTCAACTTTGAAATTGTAGAGTAGCTGTTGACTAATAGGACAAAAGTCAATTTGGAGATTGGAAGTGAAATTGAACATGTGAAATGATCAAGTAAAAGTAAAAGGAGGATGAAACCAAGCTTAGGTATGTTTTTGTTTTATATACATAACCTATGAATTATGAGATAGCTTCAATCTTTGTCTGCTTGGTTCTGGACTTGTATATAATATATATATATATATACACACACACACACAGACGTACATACGCACCATATATATACATACAATGCATACCCATATCTTCATGTTTATGAGTCTTTGTAACAAAGTATCTATGCATGACGTGCCCGTATGCTTGCAACATAGTGAGTATTACCATTTAAGTAATTTTTTCTTCCCTTATTCGTGTTCTGCTTTCAATGAATCATGACAGTTATTATTTTGCAAGGATACAATGATAGAAAATCTAGATTAGGTATATTCTTTTGGTCACTTATGATGTGTTTTCCGATTGAGTTTACAATGCGAAACTTCTTCATTGATGTAGTATCAAAATTTTCTCCCTAAAATTAGATAAATTTGCATCAACTTAAATATAATTCAACCTCACAAGTCAATTTCCTGTGATTGAACTAGCATTTTTATGAGAATTTTTAATAATGGGCTGGAATTTCATTGAGAATAGATATATAATTTGGCTAACAGGCCTATAATAGTCATAAGGTGCAATGTTCTACAAAGCATTAAACATAGCTAGGCAGTCGATGGACCTTCTAGTGCTTATGTGGCTCAAGGTATGGATTAAGCAAGCGATAAGCAGTTCATTCAGATATATAAAATATGTTTATCTTAGATTATGTATAACATCTGACACTTAAAGTTTTGAATTGATACTATACTATTGTGATTCTCAATTACTTTTTCTAATACTAGTTTCATTGTTTGTTGATACAATTACTAAGAAAAGATTCAAGATCCTCTCCAATTAGAGTCCATTAACTCCCGCTAAATTTGCTGAAATGATTCATTTAATGATTAATTGCTAATGGAAGAAGTAGGCGAGACTGAATTTCAAAACGGTCAATTAAGCAGCCCTAGCTATCAAAATGCCGAGTAGATGCTAAAATTTAGGTGGTGTCCTAAACAGGGATTATTAGAACACTGGTAATTTTGGTATGGGAGGATAAGTATGTTAAGATGGATTCTGCAAATCCCTCTATTTTAATATGGTGGAATAAGTAGGTGCCATGTCATGTGGTTTGACGACCAACAGAAAACATGTGTTTTTATATATTGCAGTCTAGGTGTTAGTTCTCGTTGAGAAATAATGCCGGCTTTTAATAGGGCTGTGACTTTCATGAACTTGAATATTGAAGAATATGATGATGGAACCGTAAATTAGGTACATTTACATATGTTTATAGATTAATAACGATTGATTGTTTTCTTAAACAAGAGTCCGATCTTCACTGTTATGTTTCTTCTTACATTGATGCAAAAACTTTATTTAGCAATCCTTGTTTTATTGTTCAATGTGATTATGTGATAACGAATTTTCCTTAAAGTTAGATAATTAGGATTTAATTAAGTGGCCCATATGATCCCGAAGTAAAATTCAGACTATTTGTTCTCTGAGGGAGTATAACCCAAGTTTTCTTATGGTCACAATCATATTCCCAACTAAATTCCAGAACATCAACATATAACATTGAGTAATATTGGTGATGGTTGCAAAGACGAAATTTCACAATTTCTGATCATGACTCCTCTCAGAAAGTATTCCAATACTAAGTTCATCATATTATCTGGTATTCAAGCATATTGGATCACATAATTGCATTACAATGTAGAAAATATCAGTTGAGTTTGAAAGTTCTCTGATAAAGAACCCATGATGCAATAATCCAAAGTGCCAACTTTTGTTTCATTCATACAAGTTGAAATTTCATATTTTGCAGAAATTCCCTTTTTGAATCTATTCATTATGGTATGTAGTTTGTATTTGACCTATTAGATTTTCACAGAATTCCAATTTAGTCAATGGAATAAACATTCACTTTGCCACATCAGATCTTCTATATTACTTGGTGATCAATGATCAAAAGGCGAATGTTTAGATGATGGGAATTTTTCATGCTTTGGGATTGGACTTAAAGAATGTGTAAGAAGTGATGTCAATCAGATACATTTTGATGAGTCTTTTGGTTTCATTTAGTCAGTGTTATACAAAAGTACTTTCTGGTTTCCAGATAAAGAGCATATATGAACTTCACATTATCTATGAAAAATATGATAGGGAGAACAAATCACTTGCTTATTAGTCTGTTGGGCTAATTTGGAAAACCATTTAAAATATGTAACACTTTTTTTTGGTTAAAAACATTCTTCTAATGATTACTCCGACACTTGATAGAGAAAATGTACGTACGTCGTCTATAGAGTGATAGAAAGCAAGCATGCTTCTATTTATGGTCATAACCATATGCTGAAGCCTGAAGCAACTTTTCTACTCTGAGCAACATGAGCTTCCAATCAGGGAACAACTATCATCTTCCTTATTTCAGTTTTATATTTTGGTAGTATTTATAAATTTGATTAAGTCAAGTTTTAAACAAACATGATATTCACCAAAAAAAAGAGAAAGAAAACAACCACAAATGGTAAGAGGATATATTATGCATATTTTTCTGCTGCTGTTTGAAGTTTGTGTCATAATCTTCCTCAAGATAATATATTCGTGATGAGAAAGTACTCATGGTAAGACCTAATAACACAAATGGATCTATTTCTGTTATTGGACGGAATAAGCATGATGCACATTTGATGAACAATCAACCTATGATGTATTCGAGGTCAAGGAGGCGGCTGGGATATTGTTGTTTTTCCCTTGATTGCTGAATTATAGTCCATCTTTATGAACCTGTGCCTTTATCTCTATGGTCTCTCTCTCTCTCTGTTCATAATATGTTACCTCCTCAGGTTGTAGTCAGTTGTATATGAAAGTAAGAAACATAGAAGAGCCGTCTATGAAACTTTCAGCTCTGAAAAGATGCAGATTCATAGTGGATTATTGAACAAACGTTCATACAAGTGTGCTTTGGCACAGATGCTGGTGTGATGAGTGTGGAAGAGGAGAGCATGGGGCAACATGGTGTTGCCTTTGATAGATATGATGATTTTGATGGTGCAGCAGACCCAGCTGGAATTTCCACACCTCAAGATAAAGACAGGGAATTTGAGCCACACCTAGGTTTGGAATTTGCTTATGTAGATGCTGCCAAGACCTTCTACAATGAGTATGCTAAACGTGTCGGGTTCACAACACGTGTCAATCAAATTGCCCGACCCACATCTGATGTTGCAGTGCGTGAATATTCGTGTGCTACATCAGGAGATGGCTGCAATGCGATGCTTAGGATAGAATCTAAAGGTCAAAATAGCTGGGCCGTGACCAAATTTGTTAAAGAACATAATCACTCTATCACGAATACATGTAAGGGTCATTACCATCGACAACAACGCCATTTTTCTGGTGCTACAAAAGATGCAGCTGGAGTGATGAGCGTGGAAGAGGAGAGGATGGGGAAACATGGTGTTGCCTTTGGTCGATATGATGATCTTGATGGTGCAGCAGATCCAGCTGGAATTTCCACAGCTCAAGATAAAGATAGGGAAACTGAGCCTCACCTAGGTCTGGAATTTGCTTATGTAGATGCTGCCAAGACTTTCTATAACGAGTATGCTAAACGTGTTGGATTCACAATATGTGTCAATCAAATTACCCGACCCACCTCGGATGTTGCAGTTCGTGAATTTTCATGTGCTACATCAGGAGATGGCTGCAATGCAACACTTAGGATAGAGTCAAAAGGTCAAAATAGCTGGGTTGTAACAAAATTTGTTAAGGAACATAATCACTCTGTCACGAATACAAGTAAGGTGCATTACCATCGACAGCGACGGCATGTTTCTGGTGCTACAAAAATTGCAGTTGAAAGCTACCCAATGGTAGGAGTTGTTCCTAGCGGTGTAATGTATCTGTCAATGGATGGTAATCGTGTTCCTGCAGAAACAAACCGTGGATCTAGGAGTGCTTCTATGGAATCAAATCGTGCAGTCCAGATTTCAGATTCTATAGCTAATTCTGCTCGGCATGCTACTAGTAAAAGGTCATTGGGAAGAGATGCTCAGAATCTACTAGATTACTTAAGGAAAATGCAGGCCGAGAACCCTGGTTTTTACTATGCCATACAACTAGACGAGGATAACCGCATGTCTAATGTGTTTTGGGCCGATGCAAGGTCTAGAACTGCTTATAGTCATTTTGGTGATGCTATTACACTAGATACAATGTACAGAGTGAAACAGTATAAAGTGCCATTTGCTCCTTTCACAGGGATCAATCATCATGGTCAAACAATTTTGTTTGGTTGTGCATTGCTTCTAGATGATTCTGAGTGCACATTTACATGGCTTTTCAAGACATTTCTTGCTGCCATGGGTGATCAGGCCCCTGTCTCCATAATTACAGATCCAGAGAAATCCATACAAGCTGCAGTTGCGCAGGTTTTTCCAGGAACCCGTCACTGCATCAGCAAGTGGCATGTCTTAAGAGAAGGACCAGATAGGTTGGCGCATGTTTGTCACATGCATCCTAATTTTCAGGCCGAGCTGTATAACTGTATCAATTTGACAGAGACAATTGAGGAGTTTGAAACTGCATGGGATCTTATCCTTGATAGATATGATCTTAGGAGGAACGATTGGTTACAATTACTGTATGCTGTGCGACAACAGTGGGTCCCATCATATTTTCATGATACATTTTTTGCTGCAATTTCTTTCAATCAGGGTTCTGAGAGCTCTTTTTTTGTTGGTTATGTAAATGAACACACTACTGTGCCATTGTTCTTTAGGCAGTATGAAAGAGCTTTGGAGAACTCATTTGAGAAGGAAATAGAAGCAGATTTTGATACGATATGCACCACCCCTATATTGAGAACGCCGTCACCAATGGAGAAACAAGCAGCAAGTCTATATACAAAAACGATATTTTCGAAATTTCAAGAAGAGTTAGTTGAAACTTTTGTGTATACTGCGAATAGGATTGATGGTGATGGTGCAGTAAGCACATTTAGGGTTGCAAAATTTGAAGATGACCAGAAAGCGTATCTTGTCTCCTTGAACATTGAAGAGTTAAGAGCAAGTTGCAGTTGTCAGATGTTTGAGTATTCGGGCATTCTTTGTAGACATATTTTGACAGTTTTTACTGTAACAAACGTCCTTACATTACCGTCCCATTATATTCTGAAACGGTGGACGAGAAATGCAAAATGCAACATTGCATTAGAAGAACGTGCTGATGTAAATGGACAGGAGTCATTAGCTATTCGTTACAACCAACTATTGCGGGAAGCCATCAAGTTTTCTGAGGAAGGGGCCATTGCTCCAGATACCTTTACTGTGGCAATGGCTGCTCTTCGAGAAGGAGGGGAGAAGGTGGCTGCTGTAAAGACAAATGTTGCAAGTTTTGCACCTCCCAGTTCACAGGTCAGTGTGATTGGCTATGATAGCCGAAAGACCACTTCTTCTGCACCAGATATGACACCTTTATTGTGGCCACGCCAAGATGAAGTAACAAGACGGTTTAATCTTAATGATGCTGGTCTTCTGGCTCAATCTGTTACTGACTTAAATCTACCACGCATGGCCCCAGTCTCTCTGCGTCGTGATGATGGTCATCCGGACAATATGGTATGTTTATGTATTGTTGTATGATATTATTTTTCTTGTTTTCTTGTTTCAGGTTCTTCTTTTCCACACCATCACCTTTTACTATTTCTTTGGGGAAGCTTTTTCTTTCAGTACACTTCTCACAAGCCGGGGGGTCTTGATGGAAACAACCACTCTACTCTTTTAGGGTAGAGGCCAGGTCTGCTTACATCCCGTCCCAGACCCCACTTTTGGGTGGGATATACTAGGCTCGTTTAGTTTGGGTTGGTTTAGCATTCTTTATTTAGTATATGAGGAGTAATGTGATTATCATTGTATTCTTCCACTGCTACACAGGTGATTCTTCCTTGCCTCAAGTCAATGACATGGGTAATGGAAAATAGAACCTTGGCTCCTGCAAACAGAGTAGCTGTCATAAACCTGAAGGTATGTGTTCTGGGCTATCATTTTAAATATGCATGTCCATATTAGTTGATTGTTTCTAAAGATATGATGCATTTTAATAAAGAAATTCTAATGAACATAAATTGCAAGACAAGTGAAAACTTTATGCAGCCATATCAAATTTAAGGAATTCAGGGGAAAACTTACAAGAACTCATCATTTGACATTCGGATCTCTATGATATCAAACTTATGATAAGCCTAAGGCCTTACACTAATGGATAATTGGATCACTCAATGAAAGAATGCTCTCATTTTCTTTATCTTTGAAAATCTCATTCATGTGTGTATCAAAATGGAGAGAGAAATTTTCTTAAATAATCTTATTTCTACTTTAGGCATTTAATTCATGGAAGTCTAATTATTTGGAGCATTTGATTTTTATTACCTATATCTTGGTGACTTCCAATAAAATTAAATTCAAGTTCCAGAATTTGTTCAATAAAACCTCTCTAATTATTCTCCTTCTGCTTCTATAGTCATTTAATTAATAAAATATTGAATCTCTACAGCATCTATTTATTATGAACATAATTTATTTTCCATTGACCGCCCATTAACCATCATTTACACTCTCAATAAATTTTTGTTTGACCCTAGATATAGATAACAATATCTTAAATCTGTTTGAATTTGCTTTGACCCCAATCATGAGCCACCTAATTTTTTGGTAAAAAAATGCTAAATTATGTCATGAAAATTTGAGGAACTTTCATCTCATTACCTATTTTCCTTTTTAACTATAGGAAGGGGCATAAAGAATGCTAAAATTTCAAATTTGCATATTCCGTCGTTCAGTTGACAGTTTCATTGCATGTGTCCATTTTGCTTAGATGGCACTAGAGCATTAAAAGAATGTACTAATGAAAAGTTATTGAACTTTAGAGGTGAACTTGAAAATTGTACATGAACTTGGTACTTCATCCATGAAAATTGCAATGTTTGACTTCACACCTGGTTTAAAAAATGCTTTGATTGTTTATTAAATACTTGAAAACCCTTCAACAAGGAGAAATGAGGAATCTTGTGGACACACATTATTGTCATCTATATATAATGATGATGATGGATAAATATGACAATTTAACTTGGAATAGTTGAGAAGAGCAAGTATTGCAATTTCTATATAACATCATGTAATGGAAGTCTTACAAATACAATTGCATATAGCACAAGTTTATCACAATTTTCTATTTATTAAACAATTAAAATTTTATATTGTTTAGAGTGTAGGGGAAGGTTCAAATGAGAACCATATATGAGAACCATGAGAACTAGTATATGCATTGATGCATATACACTATCAAATATTTATTCTGTCGATGATTATATTCATTAATGTATATCTACTATGTATGCAAGTATATATGCATTCAACATATACCCGTTCTCGCGCCTCTCAAAATATTTATAGTTCTCATTTGATCTTTTCCTTTAGCGTGTATGTATTACTTACAACTCATTTTGAAATAAGTTCATTTGGAAAAATATAAAATATTAAACCCCCACCCCCACCACACTGGTCCCTTGCCCAAACCAATGCCACCACAAGCCCTACCCTGCTCTTCACCTACCTCCCCACCTCCTTGTTTCTTTGCAACTCAGCTCCTGCTTCACTCATACAAAATTGAATTAGTTAAGTAATTTTTGATGGAAATTAAACACAAATGTCTTGAATCGTATATTGCTGACTTGTTGCAATTTTTAATGAAAATCACTGTTTTTTCTGTAATATTTATCATTGGAATGGAAATTACTTGCCACCACCACCCTATCCTGAATCACTTTAATGGTAATTAATTACAAAGGCTTTGCATCTTCTCCGGTATTTTCAAACGAAATGACACGTCTCTCTTAAAAATTAGGTTTTGCTATTTGCTATTCCTGTAGAACTTCTCTGATTGTACCTTACATTTGAGATGGGAAGTTGGTATTATTAATGAAAACATCTTCACTTTTCCAAATTGTGGCAAGTGTTGGAGGTGGGATGGAAATGGAGGATGAAGAGAGAGAAGATTAGAGGCTATGTGGGACGAGCAAGGAGAGCCAGATGGGTGCGGGGAAGAAAGAGTGGTCATTTGAACACCTTTTTTTCCCTTAAACGTGATAAACATGTATACATATATATGAAGGCCTATATGTATATTTGCATATAAATACGCACAACACACATACACGTGTGTGTACAGCCTAATTATGATAACAGTTGACAAGGAGTTTCCCATATTCTCTCACAGAACAGCTCTGTAAAGATCAACATGTAATCTATAAAAACTTTTACCAAACCGAGGCAAATATTCTAACACACTCTTCCCTCTCTCTCAAAGCACCTGTAAGAAAAAGACACCTGGCAACCACTAAATAAACTGCAAAAGAAATACTATTTATTCTAACTATTTTAAATGGCATCATATCAGCACTCCTTTCTCCAAACAATCCTTGACCTCAAGGATGATAGTGAGCCCAGATATCGAATGAAAGGAAACGAGCCTGCAATTCGTGGAACTCCTCCCAAGTACTGTCATGAACATCAGAGTTAGACCACTGGACCAACACTTCTGAATTGACTCTATTCCTTCTGTTTGCCATCCTTCGGTCCAAAATCTTAAGTGGTATTGAGCTGAATTCCTCCTTCTCAGACTGGTGGCAATTACTTGCCACTGTATGATTCCCTAACTTCCTTTTGAGTAAAGACACATGAATAACATTATGGATATTTGAAGTAGCTGGTAGTTCCAACTTGTAAGCCACCTGTCTCACCCTTTCTAAATCCTTGAAGGGATCAAAATACTTTGTAGATTGCTTGTGGAATGCTCGACGGTTGACCGAATGTTGCCGATAGGTCTGAAGTTTCAAATAGACCCAATCCCTCACTGCAAAGATCCTTTCAGTTCTATGTTTGTCAGCTTGAATCTTCATCGTTTGCCGAGATTTAGCCAGATTATCCTTAAGTAACTTGATTGTACCCACTCTGGGCCTGAGTAAGGAATCCACCGTTTGGTTTGAGGAGTCTTTAGGGTGATAGTGAATGTAGTTGAGGGGCACCTGACCAAACAAGGCCTAATGCCTGGTAAGGAGCCATGCCAAGGCTAGAATGATGTGCCGTTTTGTACCGGTACTTTGCCAAGGGAATCCACTTAACCCACGAGGAAGGTGTGTCCAAGGTAAAACATCTTGGCGGTCTGACTGAGGGTGGTAAGCAGTGAGGAAAATGCTAACTCTGTTTGGTGTGCTTTAAAGAGTTCCTTCCAGAAGTTACTGAGAAAAATAGGGTCCCTATCCTAGATGATTTTTGTTGGCATCCTGTACAACTTAGGAACTCTATCCATGAAACTTTGTGCCACTATGACAGCGGCATAAGGGTGTTTGAGGGCTATGAAATGGCTGAATTTACTCGACTTATCCACTACTACTAGTATAGTAGTGGATCCTTGTGATTTAGGCAGTCCTTCAATGAAGTCCATAGAGATGACTTCCCAAAATTTGTTCGGAATCTCCAAGGGCTGAGTAAACCAAGGTAGGCAGCAGTGTCATACTTGCTCTGTTGGCACACATGGCATTCCTGAATGAAGGTTCTAACATCCGCTTGCAAGTCCTTCCAGTACACTAAATGTTTCTAGAAGTGGCATGGACTCCTGAATGCCCCCCATTGCACTAGCATGAAAGAATTCGAGTAACTCATGCCGAAATCCCTTATTATCACCTACCACCATTCTCCCTTTTCTCAACAAACTTTCATCTTCCCAAGTATATTTGCTATTGATTGAAGGGTCTTGCTTGAGCTCATCAATTAATCCTTGCAACTTTCCATCCATTCACACGCTTGCTTGTATTTTACCCTTCCATCTAGTAACATGCTGGATACGGCCAGACATGAAGAGAGAGGCAGGTTCTGGTCTCCTGGATAATGCATCTGCCACCATATTCTTAGACCCTTTTTGGAATTGAACCGTGTCTTGCAGCCCAATCAACTTGCTCAACCATTTTTGAAGAGTTGGATTACACTTCTTTTATTCCAGAAGATGTTTGAGAGCCTGATGATCAGTCTTGATAACGGAAGGTTTTTCCAGCAGATACCCTTTCCATCGATGAATAGCTGCAACAATATCTAGTAACTCTCCTTCGTATGTGGCCAGCAGAAGGTGTTTTGGTCCCAAAGCTCTGCTGAAAAAGCTATAGGATGTTTTCCTTGGGTCAGAACAGCCCCTACCCAGATCCCTTGAACATCAGTTTCAATGGTGAACCACTCTTTGAAATTTGAAAGGGTAGGATAGGAGTTTACGACATGGTCGTTTTCAGTGGCAGTAAATGCACTTTCAGCTTCTAAATTCCATCCAAAAGCTCCCTTTTTGAGCAAATCCATTAACGGTTTGGCTATCTTGCCATAATCCATTATAAATCTATGATAGTACCCTGTTAATCCCCAAAATCCCCCTTAATTCCTTGATAGTTTTAGGTGTAGACCAGCTTACCATGTCTTCAATCTTACTTGGATCTGCCTTAACTCCATCTTCACCAATTACATGGCTGAGGTAATCCACTTGTTTCTTGGCAAAGGTACATTTTGATAACTTGGCAAACAAAGAGTGAGTTTTGAGAGTCTTCAAAACCATATATAAATGTTCTAAGTGGGCTGCCCAATCCTTATTATAAATGAGGATATCTTAAAAAAAACTAACCCAAATTTTCTCAAGTAAGGTTTAAATACAGAGTTCATCAGATTTTGAGAAGTCGTCAGAGCATTCAATAAGCCGAAAGGCATTACCGTAAACTCATATAGCCCTTCGTGAGTTCGAAAAGCAGTTTTACCAATGTCGGTCTCCATTCGAATTTGGTGATAGCTGCTCCTTAAATTCAATTTGGAAAGAAAAAAAAAGCACCATGTAGCTCATCGATAAGCTCCTCCACCATAGGAATGGGGAACTGGTTCTGATTGTTAAATTGTTGAGTCGTCTATAATCGCCACAAAATTACCATTTTCCATCCTTTTTCTTCACCAAAACAGGTGAGGTGAACTCACTCCCGCTAGGTCGAATAATCCCGCTATTAAGCATCTCCTGCACCAGCTATTCAACAATGATTTCTGCAACGCCCCATACCGATAAGCTTTCAAATTTATGGGGTTACTCTATGGTAAAAGAGTAATGCTATGGTCTAATTCCCTCTTGGGTGGCAAGTGGCAACCCCTGGGGACAAGAAAAAACATCCTCGAAGAGGTTAACCAGTTTCTCTATCTCCATGGAACTGAAATCATTTTGACTCTCGAACTCTGGAAATCATTTGTGAAAATCCTTTTGGAGAATCAATTAGATACTGCTGTTCAACATCCCAGTCGGTTTCCATATCTTTACTCATTTCAGCTCCTTCATAGTTCGGTCAACCCCTTGGAGTGTCACAAAATCTCGACCCCACTTAAATTCCATGATCATCTGCTTGAAGTTGCATCTGATGTCTCCTAGGGTAGACAACCATTGCACCCCTAAAACAATTCCATATCCTTCAATTGGCATCGTGAAAAAATCACCCACGAGTTCTTCTCCTTGAATCACCCAACGTAGACTTTTAATTACGAAGTAAGTTAGAGCCATCAGCCACTATTACCTTCATGAATTGTATTAGGCTTAATTTCAATCCTAACCTCTTAGCCAAAGCAACAATTGTGGGTACTTCCACTGTCCACCAACATTGTGATGCTTTGTTTCTTCACCATCCCCACCATTTGTAGCGTTTGTAAACCAGAGGAACCAAGTAGTGCATGATTGAAATAGATACGCCCCCCCTCATCTCCCATATTCAACTCTACGACATCCTCCTCAGCCATTTGTGGACTCGCTATTTGTGGCTCTAGTAATTCGGAGCAAATCGACATGTAGAGCCTCCCATTTTTACATTTGTGGCTAGGTATATATTTCTCGTTGCTTTAAAAACACTGTCTATTTCTCCTTTTCTCATTGTATTCCTTCTTGGTAAGTTGTTTATATGGAACTGATTTGGTGGTGGTGTTTTGGTTAAAATTAGTTTGGTTTTTTGGGTTGGTTCTCTGTAAAAACGGCGGCAACATGGTTTTTCTTTGATTATACTGGCCATAGGATGAGGAATTAGTGGTACTGACGGTAAAAATTTAGGTGCCGATGAAAGGTCGGTGCAGGGGAGCTGGGATTATGAACGGTAGGTAAATGAGAATTACTCTGGATTGGGCCTGGAGCACGATGGTGGGTGTCTGGCTGTTTGGGTGGCTCTAATCCCCATAATGCATACAAGGCTCCCTCCTGAATTCTAGTAAGTTTCATGGCTTGGTTTAATGTCTGCGGATCCAACAATTGGACTGGATGCATAATTTCATTCATGAGACTACCCAAGTATAGATCCAATAACATGTCAGTTGGAACATTTCCTGATTCCTTAGGGCATTGAATTTGGAGTTGTATCACTTACAGATGCAGATTGCTTCAAGTTCCTGAGTTTGATGAAAGGCTTTGATAATACTCTTTAAACAAATTGCTCTCTCAGATCCTGAATGTAGGTTTGCCATTTCACAGTCGTGCCCACCATCTTCTTCATATAACCTTGGAGCCAATGTAATGCATTACCCTTCAAGTGAATAGCCACCAAACGAATCCACATCTCGTTTGGGGTGTCATCGATTTCAAAGAACTGGTTACACATGTAATACCAATCCTTGAAACTCTCCCCATCAAAGGCTGGAAACTCCAATTTTGTAACTCTATTCACCAAGTGATAACCCGATATAGACCATAATTATTTACCTCTTCTTCTTCGTCTCTGTAAATCCCATCCCCATCAGGTCCTTCAAGCTAGATGAAGGTTCTGGTTGCTGATCCTTTCTGTTCTTTCTTCCTTCACTTGTTGACAACAACTTCATCCCCTTTGTCAGTTCCACGATGCTACTTTGGAGCAATTTCAAGGTTTCCTCGTACCCATCCATCCTCGTGCTTAAATCTTCATGTTATTCCCCAACCTGAGCAGTGGTCACCATTTCCTTGCACACAGGTAGAAGTGAACAGCTCTGATACCACTGATAATAGTTGACAAGGAATTCCCAAATTCTCTCAGAGAACAGCTCTGTAGAGATCAAGTTCATTCAATACGTATCGATAAAAACTTTTCCCACCAAACAGAAGCTAATATTCTAACAGACTCTTCCCTCTCTCAAAGCACCTGTAAGAAAAAGGCAACACACTGAATAAACTGGAAAATAAATACTGTTTATTCTAACTATTTTAGACGACATCGTATCAAATTATAGGAGGTAGGGAACATCAAAAGACAAGTAAGGAATAAGATGCTGCTGAAAACCATTTAGTGTGTTCCTGCTAGTTTTCTATTGGCTGCTAAAACAAAAAAAGGTGCTATTTATGTTCTTCCAATGATGCCCCACTAAGAAGAGCCAATTAGACCATTAAAAAGACCTTTTGTTTAGTTCCAATAAAGTGTCTGCTTTTCATGCATCAGTTTGAAGGTGGGCAACTACATTGAAGATGAATGAGGATGATTATTTGAGAGCTGAAGGAGTAAAGCCCAACACTCAAGTTCTTACTTTATCAAAAAAAATAACTCTCAAGTTATTAAGTTAATCAGCAACCAATTTAAAAAAACTAAACAGAAACTAGTACTATTCTTTCCCATTTCCCTGGCCTAGCCTTGTGGTCCCCATCAGTTTTTAACTTTATATTAGGAGGCAAATAGCTTTTTATCATTTTATACATGTTTTGGTAAATGCTTTTCATGCATCAGTTTGAAGGTTGGCAACTACATTGAAGATGAATGAGGGTGATTATTAGAGAGCTGAAGGAGTAAAGCCCAACACTCAAGTTATTACTTTATCAAAAAAAAAAAGAGATAACTCTCAAGTTATTAAGTTAATCAGCAACCAATTTAAAAACTAAGCAGAAACTAGTACTATTCTTTCCCATTGCCCTGGCCTGCCTTGTGGTCCCCATCAGTTTCTAACTTTATATTAGGAGGCAAATAGCTTTTTGTCATTTTATACATGTTTTGATGAAGAGTCAAGATTATCTAATTTCCACCACAACAATCTACCAAACTCCTTCCTTGGAGTAGACTAAAAGTTATATGCATCGAACTCAAAGATTTAACATGAATTGCAACTTTGGCGTTTTCCTACATTAAACCAAATATCTCGTCTCTGAAATTGAAGTATTGGTATTTGTAGTTGCAAGATCATAGAAGGTCACCAGCAAGTGAATCTGAGGTTAAGTTTCAGCTTTCGACACTTACTTTAGAGCCAATGTTGAGGTCAATGGCTTACATCAATGAACAGCTCTCTGCCCCTGCTAATAGGGTGGCTGTCATTAATTTGAAGGTATGAGTATTACAAAATAAATGAAATATGTTTCTATTGATTGAAAATCTTATTGTGTGTGTTTCCATACAGCTTCAAGATACAGATACTAGTTCAGGAGAATCTGAGGTGAAGTTTCAGGTGTCTAGGGACACTTTAGGTGCCATGTTGAGATCAATGGCTTATATCCGTGAGCAGCTCTCTAACTCTAATGCGGTAAGCTTTCCGCCATGTTCATTTATATATGTATTATATATATACACTCTAGTGGATGTCAGATGTGTGATGTGTTTTTTTTATACAGTATTGAAATGGATGTTAGTAGGAGAATATATTCCTAGCCTCTCCTAGGAGAATATATTCCTAGCCTCTCCTTTCTCTTTCTCTTATATAGTATTAGGGTGTGTTTGGTGTGACATTAGATTGGGACTAGAGTACCTATTTCCTGGCAACAAAAATGGATTTTGTATCGGGAGATCATACTGCTGTCTGTCGATCTTAAGAGCCTACTTGTCAATTCTACCCTTGATTATAATTTCATTTTGGACATTTTATTTGGGACGGATGGAGTAATAAAGAAATATGATTGGGTTTGTGGGTATTATACATGAATATGTGTTTTGCAGGCTGAATCAGCATCGGAGATTCCTTCAAAGAGACCAAGAAAAGAGAGAACCAATTAATGGTTAGCTTCTTCATCTTCAAGTAATATATTGTTGGTTTCGGATGGATGGATGGATGGATGGATGTGTACAAGAAGTAAAGGTAGCAAAGATCGATTTCAGTTAATGTTAGGTTGAGATAGAGAGAAAGAAAGAAAGAAAGATAAGAAGAAGGTTGTTGGTGGGATGAGTGAATTTTCTTGATTAGTTTCCATTGCATCTGTTTGCTCTGCTCTGCTGTGATTTTATTATTATTATTATTATTTGTATATAAATATACTTTTTTGATTGTTGATAATAGTTAGTTGGTAATGAAATTGTTTCATTATTTGTCATTTTAAAAACCAATCTGTTTCATTTAATTGGTTTTTATGTATTAAATTTATAATCTAATTTTGCAATTAAATTTCATAACCAATTCTTCGGAGATTTCGGATAAAATTTTACTTCATATGAAGAAAGTAGAGAATTATTTCAATTTCATTTTATGGTTCAAGCCACAAACAATAAACTAGTGTTGTCTTGGTTTTAGACCGTCTAATTTAAAATGCAAACACTAATCCTTTTCTATATGTTACACCATTTTTATACTAAGCCTATTTTAAATATTTACTTTTTTTTATTTTGTCATATATATATATATATATATATATGGGTCGTTCAAGGGAGAACTGGTTAGTTTGTGGTAATTGTGAGATCCAATCTCAACCACAAATCAATAGATAAATTAGGAAATTTTTAATTTTGGTAATTTTTAATTAAAATTTTAATGCAAGGGTATTTTAGGTATTTTCTCTCCTCTCTTCTCTCTCCGTCCCCGTCTTCCGGCCACCGTCCTCCGGCTTTCGGCCACCATCCTCCGGTGATACCACAGTGTGATACTCAAGCACATATAAGATGCATTGTGATACCACTGTGTTACATATCCGATCGACCGCACATATGACCACAGTGTGATACCCAATCACATATATGATGCATTATGATACCACTGTGGTATCACCTGAGGACGGTGGTCGGAGGCCGGGGGACGGAGAGAGAAGAGAGGATAGAGGAGAGAGGAGAGAAAATACCTAAAATACCCTTGAATTAAAATTTTAATTAAAAATTACCAAAATTTTCTAATTTATCTATTGATTTGTGGTTGAGATTGGACCTCACGGTTACCACAAACTAATTAGTTCTCATTTAATTAAGCCCCTATCTATATATATATATATAGAGAGAGAGAGAGAGAGAGAGAGAGATTGGTTCAAATACTAACCAAAACTATTGTGCAAACTATGCTAACCAACATCAACCAATCATGTTCCATCTTTTAGTTAGGTTCAAATGTAACTCACATATTAATTGTAAGGGTATTTAGGTAATTTATCATTCTTATGTAACTCCCAAATATTTTAATTGGGAGTTACAAATCTTAAAATATCACTAATTGATCTTCATGTAATAATGACATGAAGTTTCACATGTGTTCATCTTAYTRAATTTTACATTTATTCTTCCTATAATGGTTTTGATATTGTAAATTTGAAAAAAGTCCCTTTTGTAAAGATTACGTTATAGTCCGATTAATATGGATAATCATAGAGTAAAAGGATCGACGACAATGAGAATGAAAAAGCTAAAAGCGTCTACGAATACATTCGGAATTCGAATTCCGAAAGTGAAGAAAATGATCAATAAGGGTCCCAATATGAACATACGATAGCTACGAACACGCTAATATGAACATGCCTACATTAAAGATTTGAGTTCGAGATGACAAACAATCATTCTTCACTAAGTTTTGAATTTCAGTAAATCCACATCTTGCTCTTTTTAATTATCTACATTGTGTAATAATAGTTTTAGTGTTAAAGAATAACTACGTAGGGGTTGTTCATTATGTTCATTAAAGATTTGACTTCGGGATGACAAACAATATACATTCTTTACTAAGTTTTCAATTTCAGTAAATTAACATCATTGTTGCTTTTTTTAATTATCTACTTTGTGTAATAATAGTTTTAGTTTTGTTACTGTTTTATGTCATATAGCACAAATCATATAATGCTTATATAGGGGTTGTTCATTATGTTCACTGTGCCATATTACTTGATCACACACATAGCGATTACATTTTTCATACTATGAYGCATTAAGACATTTGTGCACAGACACACATATATTAACAGATATCAAATCAGCACAAATAACACAGACGTAGACGTTGGGATTCGTTACTGTTTTATGTCATATTGCTAATGTTCATTAGGTTCACAAATCCAAACTAGTATGTATTTGTGAAGTGTTGCGTGTGTGATGTTCATTAGGTTCACAAATCCAAACTTGTATGCATTTCGCCAAAATCATCCATCGTTTTGATGAATATTATGAACCAGATTTTTCGCTAATGATATACACTATTGATCGTATAGATTGGCAGTTTCGTAGTTCATTGGAGGTTACAAAATCGTCTGAATAATATAGGTTCACGATGTGATGCGATTTTTTTACAAAATTACCCTTTGAACAGTTGTTCATAGACATCTCATTTAATACATTAATTAAATGATTATTTTTGTAGTCTCATTTAATAAGGACCGTTTGATGAGAAAATGAATGATCAAGATCGGTTAGCATAGTTTGCACAATAGTTTGGGTTAGTATTTGAACCAGCCCCTATATATATATATATATATATATATATATATATATATATGCGGGATCAAATGAAAACCGTCTAATTTTTAAAAACCGTGTAAACTAATTTCGACCAATAGGAAAAAAAATTCTTAATTAAATTTAATCATTAAGGGTAGATTTGTTATTTACATTGTTTTCTATTAAATATGAAAGTTATTAATAAATCTTAATTAAGGTAACATAATAAAAGAAATTTTATAAATGGTAATATTTAAATTAGAATTTTAAAAATTGAATATTGTTATTTGGACATACCTGGACAGAGATTGTTTGTCAGGGACTGCAACATACCTGGACATCCTTTTCATGAGATTGTTGATGATGTCTTCGATAATAGGCTTATGACTAGACTTGGATCGCTGAATGGCTTGCCTGATCTACATCCATTCGCTGTATCCATAGTGGCTAAGGTAGGAAGGGTACTCGGTAATGGCGCTGAGATTGTCCCTGGTGATGAGCATTGAGACAAGAGTTCCACCGTCTTTGGATCGTCCACTGATGTTGACGCTCTTGATCGGGTGAGAACTAGTTCTCTTCTTCAGCCTTGCTTCGCTCCAGCAATTGTCCCGCTCAGCCAATTTCAGATTTTTCTCATGCTCAGCTTCTGTAAGAGAAAGTAACTTAGCTTGGGCTTGGACAACGTTCAACTTCTTTTTGGACTTTCTCTTTGGGAGAATCTTTTCAACTAGTGACTTGGCCAGCTTTAGGCTGTTTTTAGTCTGCTTCTTCTGAAGCTCTAGCTCTTCTTCAGCCTTTAACGCCTCGAGTCTTTCAGCTTCTGAAAGGAAGTCAAACTCACCACCACTAGAGGTATGAAGAGGGATTTTTACTCTAGTCTGGTCGAATGACTCCTTAAGTTGAGCCATCTACTGGTCGGTAGGAGTACTAGAGATAGGGTTTTCAGGGACCCACTCTAGTCGACCGCAGGTAGTAGAGGGAATATGAAGTTGATATAGTGAAGTGACCACTACCTGAGAGGTAGAATCTTCAAATAAGGGTTGAGGGTTTTTGAAAAGTACCTTCAGGTTCCCTTCTTCAGCGACACATTTGCCTTTCGACTTAGGGTCCTAGTTCTTTGACGGGGAGGACTCTTTTTTCCTTTGCTCTCCCTGGGATGCAGAATCCCTAAGGGCGACTCCTTTGGTGGCGGTTGTTGGTCGTTGATACTGAATGGTGAAGTCATCTTCATCATCGTCGTCATCATCACTATCGAGGTCACTGCCGGAGTCTGGAAGGTCAGGTTCGTCATCTTCATCATCATCATCACCAGCAACAGGTGCAGAGGTGATGGGAAGGTCATCATCCTTAAGGATGGCATCAACTTCCTCAGCTATAACAGCTTCACCGGAGGTTGGGATTGCTTGGGCAATCTCAGCTTTAGCTTCAGCTCTAGGAGCTTCAGCTTCAACTTTAAGGATTGCTGGAGTAGCAGATGGTCCAGCAGCGTTGAACCTCATCTCCCCCTCTCTGGCTAAGACTTGAGAGTATAGGCCAGAGAGTTCGTCCATGTGCTGATGCTGGAGAACCATCATTTCTTCTAGCCGCGACAAAGCGCTAGCTAGAGTTGTCGTTGCTTCGTGTGTCTCATTAAGTTGAGCGTGATCATCAGCAGTGAAAAAAGGCGGGATCACTAGTGCTGGTTGACGGACAACATCCAGGATCTGCTGGAGAAGCTCTGTCTGCTGGAGAGACTGAGCCTGAGCGTCATCAGCCCTGCTGAATAGAACAACGATGGCTTCAGCGTTGGCTCAAACAGCCTCATGAAGAGTCGAGAGCTGACTCCTAACTTCTTGAACATCAGCTTTGACAGTTGAGAGGTCCAATCAAGATCTGCTTTGCGAGGCATTTCTCGATGAACTTCAGACATTTTGCAGAAGATGGTATCGACGGCTGGGAGGAGAAGCTTGACATCAGAAGCCATGTCATAATACTCGTCATATTCGTCAATCGGCCATCCTCATCCTCATCCTCGTCAATGGCGTCATCCACAGAAGGACTTGTAAGAGAATGAGAGTGAGCTAAGAGAGTCTCAGGATTAGAAGAACTGAAAGGATAGGAAGATGGAATACCTGAGGGGCCATCAGTTACATCCAAAGGATCTTGCTCAATGATGCCCTCGAGAGGATGATCATATGTATGTTGAGGAGCCTCGAAAGGAGCAACCTCAGGTCCAGTGGTGTGTGTTTCATCATCAGGGAGGACATTCACTGATGAGTCATAAACACGTGTAGTGACCAAAGAAGGAGGAGAAGAGAAAACGGTTGAGAAGATTTGTGGGTGTTCAGCGGTGATGGCGCTGATATTCACACCTTCAGTGATTTGAGTCACTGAGGCAGTTGGGGTAGGTACCACTGATACGATAGTGATTTCAGGGATCACTGAAGAGCTAGGGAGGGTAGCTGAATGTGCCTCGAGGTTAAGGCTAGTTTCAATAGCTGAAACCTGTCGAGAGGTCTCAGCCAGAGATGTAGCTATCCCTTTTTTGGCCTTATTGGCTCTCTGAGGAGAACCAAGAGTTGGTTGAGAATGTCGTTTTGAAGGGGTTTTGGTGGCTGGGCTAGACGCAGGGGGTTTTCCTTTGTCTTGACCACCGGAGGAGAGGAAGGAGAGAAGGGCACTATAGAAGAAAGTGCAACGTCTCCTTCCCTCAGCTTGT